TGGGGCAGCCTCATGGACCTGCTGGGCTCCGTCAAGAGCGCCGCGGGGCCCCCCTCGCACCCCACCGAGGACAAGACCTCCACGCAGGAGGTGTCCTTCATCTGCATCCAGATGTTCTGCCACCTGCTGCACGTCGCCGCCATGCTGCCGGAGAAGGGGTGCAGCGAGCCGCTGGTGGTGGTGGCTTTGGAGATCCTCTCGCAGTACGAGGCGTTCAGCAGCGCCGATACATCCCCCAGCAACACGCTGCGGAGAGCCAACGAGAGGCACTTCCTGGAGTCCATCACGGACAACGTCGGTGACGAGGCGCTACGCGGCACCCTCCTGCAGAAGCTCAGCAAGCTGGGAGCTCGCTCGGCCGGGGAGCTGGCTTGAGAAGCTGGAGAGGGCGACAGGAGAGACCTGACGCTGCCTCAGGGGAGCCCTTACGTGGAAAGCTGTAAGATCTGTAATAAACCCTGTCTATTTTTCTCTTTTGAACTGATTTCCCCCCTGCTGTGTCTTCTTCCAGCCTGTCCAAGCAGTGAAGGGACCATGTAAAGGTGGGCAGGACCAGCCGCTCTGATTTTCCAGTGGGAATAGCGGTGCAAGCAGCTGTTCCTGAGCCCGGCTGCTGGTCCCACAGCTCCAGCCTTGCCTGCCGGCGGTCTGGATTTATAGAGACACCCTGGCAGCCTCCGGCATCAGGGAAAGCATTTCCCTCCAGCTCCTCTGCCGCCGGCCCTCTCCCAGTCCTGGTTGGATTGCTGGGTTCTCCACGCGCTGCCAGCCGCCGAGAAGCGAGTCGGGTGAGTTCAGGCCCAGGACGGGCAGGTGCCTGTGGCAATCCGCGTGCGGAGGTGGGGATGCAGCAGCCCCGTGCGTTAACACCCCCTGCCCAGAAGCGAACGGCACGTGGGAGAAACATCCAGTGGTGTGACCTGGAAAGGGAATCTTTATTGGTCTCCTGATAGGCGCGGTAGTAAATAGGGCAGTGTTAGTGCAAACTGAGATGCCTCATTGGCTTTTTTTTTTTCCCTTACGTAAGGCACGTTATTTGCAATGAAAACAGCGAGATGCAAACATCTGTAACGGGTAGCAAGCGGTTTATACCATTAGCTGGTCTCGATCGTTAATGTAACAGTAGTGTTTCTGCAATAACCGACTACACGTCGGAAGAGGCCCTTTTATTTTATCCTTCCCAGAATACAGCTGTGGCTGGGACAAGATCCAACACCCACAAGAACTGGGTCCTCAGCCCTTCCAGCCGTTGTTTTTAGACAGAATGAAAGGCACAGAGTGGCCACAGGTTTCTGGGCATGGGTGGCTGGAGCAGGGGGACCCCCAGGCAAGGGTGGGGGGCTGCAGGGAGGAGGTGGCTGCCCTGGCTTGTGCTGGCTGCAGGGAAGGAGCCAAAGTGCTGCTGTCTGACTTGCATGCACCTGCAGGGCTTGTGAACCCCACAGTGCAGGGAGAGCCAGGAAGCTTTCCTCCATGGAAACGGGCCGAACCGATGAAGGACACAGCTCAGTGCCCTGCTCTGGGGTTGCTGGTTCCTCCTGCACTGACCCAGTTCCCTCTGGCAGCCTTCGCCTTGCGGGAGAGTGGGATGGGCAGGAGGGAAGGACCATATGACCAGAGCTCAGGCTGTACTGGCACCCACGGGTGCTGCCAGGGCTGCTGGTGTCAGCTGGAGGCAGGGCAGGGCGTACCAGATGATTTTAAATACCCGTTGTGGGGACACAGGGCAGATAAAAGCAACTGCAGTCAGGGGAGAGGGTTGAAAGTTGCATCCCCTGCCAAGAAAGGGCTCTGCATAGTGCCCTGTGTGTTGTGAGATGAGGACTTGGCAGTCTTCTGTCCTCATCCTGCCCTTCAGCCATGGGTGCTCTGCCCTGCCAGTGTTGCTCTGAGGCAGCATTAACAGTTCCTCTATCCTGATGTGAGCTTCTCTCCCCTCCAGCCCACTGGGAATGCCGGAGCCACCCTCCCCTGGGACTGTCAGCCACAAGACAGGAGACAGTCAGAGCAAAAAGCACCTTTGGGTTCAGTGGAGTCTTAAACTTTGAGTTTGGGCCCAGCAGCAGCGGGAGGTGCCTGCAGAAGGGGAGAGGCTGAACGCGGCTGTAGTGTAGAGGCAAAGTCGGTAAAGGTCAGGAACGGGCTGCGCAGAGCCGTGCCGCAGCCCCGGAGTCTGGCTCTGCTCTCAGCTGGAGGCTGTAAACTGGAGCCGGAGGAGCGAGTCGGGGCTGCAGCAGGTTGGGCATGCGGCTCCCCTGGTCCCCAGTGCC